AAGGTGAATACAAAATCTATGCTTATTCCAAATAGAAAAAGCACAATGCAACACTCTTTAACAATGTGTGATCCTGTCAAAGCTCAGGACAAAGGGTACTACATGGAAAATAGACTCCAGAAGCAGAATAAGGGGGACTTGGTCTGACCATGGAGGGAGGAAATACAAACTTGAAAGAATTTGAATCAGGGTGCTAGGGAAGGACTTGATGGCAGAAGGAAAACAGAGTTTGATCAATGAAGATACAAATTTTAATAACTGGAACAGGAAAGTACTGAATTTTCACTATATTGCAGAATAAGAATTGGTAACACTTTGGAAGACACTGAAGGCTGAGTACATTTTATGACTGGGAAAATAATGAGAGGGAATGGATTACGCAACTTACCAGTGCCACATGATGTGCCAGAAACAGATCGCTCATTCCTCCAAAGTGAAAAACTAACACACAAATAGCAAACCTCTGAAGTGTCTTTCATAATAGTTATTTTAGAAGGGTAGGCAAAGCAGGGATCTGCTGCTTCACATGCACAGTCTATGTTTTAGCACTGCCCACGAATAATTCACCTTAAAAATGGTACCCTCCATGCACAATACCTCACATCATGGGTTTCCAAACTAAGTCAAGTCAGCTTGTTTTCCAAAGGTGCTTGCTTTTGGCTTGGTTCTTGTCTGACCCTTTCCTTAAAATACAAAGAAAGAAGTTCCCAATATGGGAAAGCACCATGTGAGATGGATAACAAGCAGCAGATTGGTGGCCCTCTCTCAGCCATCCAGCAGCTCTACCCACTGTGTCTGAAGACAGGTTCTGAATAGCGGCTTAGATTTGTAGACATTCATGAGGTCTTTCCTTCTTAGGGATGTGGTAATAAAATATCACTCGTTATATTTTAGACTAATTTCCAACACAGAAATGGAAAGTATTATTATCATTCTCAACCCCTCGCTAATCATGCATGGAATTTTAAGATGAGTAGATAGTATCACTTCAATTAATCATACTGAGGAGCGGCAAGAATATTTAGGCAGACTAAATAGAAATCCTTATGAAAAGCATCTAAATGTACCTGAAACTTGAGCTGAAATGACTCAGTTTTGCTTACCAAGGTTCAGCTGCTGGAAACTGAAGCTAAAAGTTCCAGGTAAGACATCAGATACATATTTTAACAGTGAATGATTAGCTACTAGCCTCATTTACAAAGGCTTAGGCAAAATGTCAGCCACTGGAGAGCTGTAGATTAAGTCTGAATGTCCCAAAGACATGCTCCATGTGGGAATTAATTCAGGAAAGCCTAGTGGGCTGTATGGCCAGATTGTATTCCACAAGCTGGAGCAAAGGAAGTTCCATGTGAACATAAGGAAAATGTTTTTACTGTAAGGGTTACGGAGCACTGGACCAGGCTGCCCAAAGAGGTTGTGGAGTCTCCTTCTCTGGAGACATTCAATGCCTGGATGCGTTCCTGTGTGACCTGGTCTGGGTGATCCTGCTCTGGCAGTGGGGTTGGACTGGATGAGCTTTTGAGGTCCCTTCCAACTCCTAACATTCTGTGATTCTGTGATTCAGTATTTCCAGCCTTACATTTTATGAATATATGAAAGGATACTGATGACTTAACTGGCTCACAGTATGGCTGCAATCATAAAATGCTTTGGCTTAAGATATCTGTATTCATGTGAAAAAGTTATCACTCATGTTTATCTACTACTATCTACATTTTTAACTACTAGATAAATCCCTGACATTTTTTTCATCTTTTCCACAGACAGTGTAAATGCTCAGAAAGCACTCGGGCACCAGCTGTATGCAAGTGGCAGAAATTCCTACTTTAAGCACTGCAAGTGCTTGAAACAATTCTGATGGCTGTCAGACATGGCCCACCTGGGAAGTACTGGCAGTTTACAGAAATAACAATTGCAATGTGAAGGCAATATCCAGATGAAATGTACAAGAGACAGAAACACAACCATACACATTGCTAGGAAACTGGCAAAAAAAATATAATAGTTCAATCAGTAGAGGATTTGGCTGATTATTTTCCTCTCCAGTAGCTAGCATCCACCTGAACAGGCTATCCTGAATCCATGATCTTCCAGGAGGAATAAGAGGCTCAGCCTTACTTCTTTTTCATCAGCTGCTTAAGATTTAAGGCTCAGCCATGCAAACAGCAATGCAGAAATAATCTACAGGGGCTCAGTGGATTCAGGGAAACCTTAAAACAGAAAACCCAGCCTCAGCCTACAGCTGCCCATACCAATTGGTAGAACACTGCTCCCCATCTACCTCTTTGCTTTACTTTTAACCTGTATTTTTCTTAAAGAGAAAAGACAGCGTGACAGTCTAGGGAAGTAATTACACATGTACTCATCAGATAATAAAACTGGGATAGCAACATATTATTTATTTGCCTACAGTAAAGGACTAAGCCACTTTTTTTGTACAAGACCATTGCTGAAAAATGCATGCAATCACACAGCTTTTGAAATATTATCCACAGAATCTAGAAAAGAGTGCTGCTTTATGCAAGTGAAACAAAAAGCCTTACAATAAACTAATGGCTTCAATCATCAGTTTCTGAGCCTTAACTATTACTGTATTTCAGTTTAAGATAAAACTCAACTTTGAATCTCAGATTTTTTTTTTAGCTGAAATCAATTTATTTCATTTTTAAATTGCAGGAATACCTGAGAAAAATGTGAGACTAGCAATTAAGAAATAGATTTCTATACCTGACTACAGGTACAGAAAAGACAGATTTCTGTTACTTAAATGCTGGATTACTACAATACGTGCTCAATGTGGAAGTTTTGGAAATGGTAATTGTCAATGAGATAAACTGCACTCTTAACTGTCTCCTGTATGAAATACATTATATGTCTACTTTGAGATAAAGAGGAGTCTTCACTTAAAGCTAATTCCATTTCTAAGTGTTAGTCTTGAGCTATGCTTTCCTGAACTGGAAAGCACAGGATTAGAACTGCCCAGAAAGTGCAAATTCATTCCTGAGGAAAAGAAAAAAGAATTGTTAAATGTCCTGAATCAGGATATAAAAGGGGAAAAAATGAGAGCTTTTTTCACAAGAAGAAAAATTTTGCAATTTCCTTCTGAGCATCCTGCAGGCAGGACCCATCATTGACAAAAGCCACTGCTCAGGTTTTCTGCTCAAACCCTTTCAGCACAATCCCTCTCTCACCATCCCCTCTCCCCACCACCCGCTGCAGAGACAGAGGGCAACAGCTCTTCACAGAGTTAATGACAGCCTTTTGGCTCTCAGTAACTAAGAAAGTTTTTCTTATGAAAGACTTCAATGGTGCAAGAAGGACTTTTTTTCCCCACTGGAAAATTATCCAGAGAGAAGGTTCCAAATCATCTCTCCTCTGACCATCTCTATTGATGCTCAACAGCCTTTCTCCTTTCTGGTACTGTGACAGCCAGGAGAGGCTTTCATGTATTTCAAGTGTTCAAGCACATCACATTTTTAGTGAATTTACTTTAATTTGCATGGAGCAGTGACCCGTGGGAAGAAGGCTCCACAACCTGTAAGATTGTAAAGGAGGTATGTTTATTCAGCGCGCGGGCACACAGGGGAATCTTTTCCTCCGAATTCGTGTGCGCCTTCTGTGGCACCTTGTCTTAGCTTTTATACAGTAAAGTGTTGCATATTCATTACTATGCAGAAACTCCTATGCATATTCATATCCTTTCCCCGAAAAGAAGGTCTTTTTCCGAGAAGTCTTGTCGCGCCTGCGCAGTGCCTCCTGGTGGTCGTGGGCCGGGGTCTCGGGGAGTCCTTTTCCCCACTAAGCTCTTCACCTTTATTCCTTGCCCATGCTCCCTGGACCCTTGACGTTTCTCCAAACCACAAAGCCGGATTTTACCAATTTGCTGGAATGTTAAGACACTTCAGGCAGGACATCCTTGGCCTTATCAGGAACTGTCTGTAGCCTACCTGCCTTTATACAATGACCTAAGATATATTGCTTCAGCTAAATAACTGCTATCCTGTTAACTCTTAAGCATTATTCCCACAAGCTGTGTTAGCCCCAAGCTATAATTTTCTTTATAAGTGTTACAGTTCTCTCCATCAGCAGCTCCTTCTGCCTCAGACACCAGGACCCTTTTGGGAGGCTTCATGCAGTACCTGAATGTCATTAAACACCTGCCATTAAACAAGACTGAAGTTTTTCAGCAGTTGAGTCAGTACATCTAACAGAATAGCAAGCTGAAGGCCCATAAGAGAAGAAATTCTCTTATCAATTATTTCTGATACTTCTAAAAAAATCTTGCTTGCTATGGACTCTTTTTATATGGCAACTGGTATTTATTAATAATTAATTTAAAAATACTTTTAAAGGTGGTAGAAGGAGGTAGCTTAGTATGTTATGATGGGCCAAATAAGTATCACAGACATTTTTTAACAGAATCAACAGAACAAAATAAATACAACATCCACAAAGCATGTAATTACAAAGAACAGCCATAGTGCAAAAGGGCAACAACAGTCCTATCCAAATTACTTACACTCCCTACACATTATCTCAAACATTTGCACCTGTAACAATCCAACTCTGATAATTTAGCAAAAAGCTTAAGCACAGGTGCTCTCAATACCCATAGGACTTTTTCCATGCTCCTCTCTCCAGCATGAGCTCCTCTCTCCATGGGTCCACAGGTTCTGCCAGGAGCCTGCTCCAGCTCGGGCTTCCCACAGGGTCACAGCCTCCTTCAGGTGCATCCATCTGCTCTGGCGTGTGGACCTCCATGGGCCGCAGGTGGATCTCTGCTGCACCATTAACCTCCATGGGCTGCAAGGGACAGCCTGCCTCACCATGGTCTTCACCATGGGCTGCAGGGAAATCTGCTCCAGCATCTGGAGCACCTCCTCCCTCACCTTTTAATGTCTGCAGCACTGTTTCTCTCACATATTTGCACTCCTCTCTCCAGCTGCAGTTGCACAGGGTTTTTTCCCTTCTTAAATACATTATCCCAGAGGCGCTATCACCATCGCTGATTGACTCGGCCTTGGCCAGTGATGGGTCCATCTTGGAGCCACTGGCCTGGGCTCTCTCAGACATACGGGAAGCCTCTAGCAGCTTCTCACAGAAGCCACTGCTGTAGCCCCCTGCTACCAAAACCTTGCCATGAAAACCCAATACAGGTTCTTTATAATTCTCTGATCCATATCCTGATGCAGAAATGTCACTTTTTACTGGTAAAAAGTATTCTTCTTCATTATTTTCTTTTTTTTTAAATTTCTTTTTATTTCTTGTTTTCTTTTATTATTTTTCTATTTCTGAGGGAGGCATACAGCTCGGCAGTGCATCCCTGTTATTTACCTACTACCCTGCAACATGCCTTATCCCTCTCCTGCAGACAAGCTGTGAAAATTTTGATTAGAAGTCCCTAAACCATATGGGAATGGTTAACTCCTCAGATGCAGCAGGGGCTCTGGGTTTTTCTGCTGCTTTGGTTCACCTCCATGTCTGGTACTAAGTTTGTACCTTCAGTACCAACAGCAAGGTTTGCTGTTTATGTGGTCTTCCAGAGGGGCAGTGAGGCACAGCACAAAACTACATGCTTTTTGGAAGGAAACCCTCTAAAGACTAACCCTACCAATTCATAGTTTTAGGAAAGTGATTTTCAGAGGGCTCTGAACCGTATCCTCTTCTTGTGCCAATGGAAGCACCTACACAAACGCACTCTACAGAGGCACTGTACCTATATAAGGAGTCTGTAACCCTTCCATGTAAAAGTTAACACACAAAAAGCAGGTGTACAAAGTTGAAGAGGCACATGAGAAGGCTACTTTCTGAAAGCTAGATGGTAAAAATTTGACCCAAAAGCTTTCTCTCCCTTCTCTATGAAACTTCCCACAGGCTATTTTAAATGTTCTTGCCCCTTTTGTGTGATTTAGAAAGGTTTCCTCGGCACCACCCTCCATACGGAGGCTAGTGATTACTGAAATGGCAGAGATCATATAACTAAAGTCCAGAAGCAATATTAAAATGGGATCCTTTAGCAAATACCCTATCATTATATCCAAGGTCTGGACCACGGTGGAATATGAAATTACTGTAATACATCTACAGTCCAGGAAAAGGCTGTATTTATTAACTTTTACTGTAAAATTGTAATAAGGTTATCTCCTGAAAATAGTGTCCTGTCAGAATAACAGCTATAATTGTTTCTTAAACATACCAGATTCTGAACCAACCCTTTAATAAAAGAACTGTAGTGAACAGTTATAAAAGCACAAAGAGATACTGATATATGCACATTACGCACTAGCAAAAGCAATCCCTCTTTGGCTCCTAACCTAAAATAGGGGTTTTTTTATTAAACACTCCTCTGCAGTCCACTTTACAAGAAACCATCTGCCACACCAAGTTCTCCACGTGCAACCTGACACTTGCTTATTCATTTCTGCAAAGCCTTTAACTTGGTGTGTACCTGGTGTACACGGCCGCAGCTGCAGTCCCAGCCAGCACCAGTCCCTGTTGTTATGGCAACTGGTGCGCGCACAGCCCTGCTCTTGGGTTGTGGCTCCTTCCAGCCTCTCCTGCTGTAAAACACAATGGAAAAACGATTTCCAAAAAACTTCTCTATGAAAGGTTACCTCTGAAAGCCTGGATTCTGCATACTGTCTCAACCAGAGCCTATCTGCAAAGACAAACTTGATCTATAAAACTTCCCAGAGTCATCAGTAATAACAAAATGGCAGAGTGGCAGCATAAGCAGGGTCATTTAAGCCAAGAATTATTCATAAGTGCACAACTATATTAAGGCAACTGTGCAAGTTAAACTGTTAGCCAGCCAGGTTGCTAGATACTAATAAAATTTCTCCTGAATTCCCCTGAGTTTGCTTGGTTTTTTATTTTACAAAGGACTCGATTCTCCTCCCATTTCATAGATATTTTGCAAATGCCTTCACTAGGGAATGAATCGACCTCAAATTACAGAATTCACTCCTGGCAGCTCACTGACTGCAGGTACGTTTGCTGATGCCATGAGCAAGGTTTTCTCCCAGGTGCCTCTGGTGAGTCTGTGGAAAACTGGATAATGTTTCTCTTTAATATGTTTGAGTAGAAGATATTTTACTATAGAAATAGTGCAAAGTACAAAGAATAAAAAACATTTGTTTTTAAAGCCTTAGCTGATACTGTGAGTCAGGTAATGCCAAAAAAGAAACAAATGTTTTATTTGAGACACTTAATAAATGAGTCCTGAGGCAATCAATATGCAGCCTTTTACTTCTAATGCAAGAGAAATTATTTTTTACTTGGTTGCTACATCATTAAAAAATTAATAATTTTTATTTGCATCTCAGTAACAATCTCCAGCCAAGACTGGGGTCTTACTGTGCCGGTCTCTGTTGGAAAACAGTAAGGACAGATCTTGTCCTAAGGAGTTTGCAGCCCATGAGCCAAATCATGATTGTAAGGTCTTTCTGACCATGAGGCAACATGCTGCTTTATCCACTCAGAGGCACTTCCAAGTATAATAATAAAAAAAAATTGAATATAGCAGCTAACTTAGCCACTGAAAAATAGAAATAAATAGAAATAAGATGACTTAAAGCTTGCTTTAAAACAAAAAAATGTAATTTTTGTTATACTTGATATTGAATGAGTTTATAAAGCACTTTTGCAGTACTGGTTTCTGGTAGGAAATTGTGCATCTTAAGTTACTAGCCCCGCCCCCCCC